AATTATACGATAATGTTCATAACCATTAGTCTCTATAGGACTACTTATTCATATTCAAGAACAAACTAATCAAAATAATAATCGTGAATAGAGACATAATCAATAAAAAAATTATTAAAGTAATTAAGAACCTGATTAATAAAAAAGAAATTCCTTTTTATTCAAAGTGATCCAGCTGCTCCAATGGAGTCTTGTACAGAAGTTGCGCAATGAAAAAAAGTGTGGAAAAAAAAACGTGAATTAAAAACTGGATAAAAACTCAAGACTACCTATGAGTTTTTATACTAAATCCTAAAGATAGAAAGAATCTCCTAGTATTCAATGTCAATTACACACAATGAAGATCAAATCCAAGCAATTAAAGATTCTTGAAGTGGAGGGAATCATGCCAAAAATGAAACAAATCGAGAAAACTCGCACTCCTGTTACGGGCTGTAACAGCTGTTACAGGTACCAATAACAGGCCTCTGGATTTTGTATGGGGCGCATGCTTTTGAAGGCTTGTGACTTCTTCTCCTGTTACGAGTCGTAATAGCTGTTACGGGTACCCGTAACAGGTCCTTGGTTTTTGTACTAGAATTTTCCGATTCTTGTCTTTTTCCTTGTTTTGCCCACTCTTCATCCTAAAATCAAGAGAAACACCATACCAAAGCATAAAACATAGAAAAATAAAAGGAAATCAAACAAAAGTGGTGTAAACGTACGATCTAAACTACTAATAAAAGCAACATTAAAACCACTTATCACGTTACATATTGCATGTTTGTTGAATTTATGTTATTTGGACTGTGTGGATGATGAATTGTAGAATGGGTGATCATGTATATTGAGATGGTGTGCTTACATATTATTATGTATTTCTTTATATGATTGTGATTTTTCACCCGTTTAGTTTGAATGTTGTCTTTACATGGATATCGTATAGATAATCCGCAATAGAGGTGTGTATGTGAGTAGAAGAGAGTGCTATTCTTTATACTTTTATTGAGTCTGCATTTACTCAAATATGTAACAATAGGGGACTGGAACAGTTAATTGTTTTAATTTATGTCTGGTGGAGACTTCATGTTAATTTCTTAAGTTTAACAAATTACTATTATTTCTGTTTGTTATGGTTATGTTTGTTATGATTACGTTTGGAATTAATCAGTTGTTGGATGTTCCGCTGCTAAACATTTATTAAAGTTCAGACTCATTTATACTTCTTATAAATTTTAATTTAATATGTGTTACATATTTAATTGCATGAGCTAGTTGATGTAGCAAGTAGCATCCTAATTGTTTTGGTGTTTTTTTTATAAAAATTACTCTGATTTTATTTACAAATTACGCAGGGATAATTAAGGTGTTACATCGGACACGCTGAAAAACACGCTTCAGATGGTGGCATGTGAATCCAACACGTGGGGGCACATGGTGGGGTGTTTGGAAGCGCATTTATGGGGATGGACTGGATCAGGGAAGACGCTTCTATTTGCGTGACTAGTTTGTTAAAAGGTCGTCGGAATCAATGGCAGCGGTGGTGGAAGGTAGTGGTTGACGAAGGTTGATGAAAATCTAATGTTGGAAAGGAAAATTGGAGTGATGACACAGTTCGCCAAAACCATTTCTCACCAGAAGACTGTGGATCAACCAGGTAAACCACGTTGTATGATTGTCTCTCAGTAGGCTCTGGATACCATCTCATGATGGTATCTGAGCCTCATTTAAAATCCAATGGACCACCCACCATTTTGTTCCACGTCCCAAATGCAAATCTTTGGTGTGAGAAGGGGTGTTAAGTGTTTCACATTGGACAATCTATGACCTGAACATGTTTATAGGCGAGGACAATCCTCATCCTACAAAACTGTTTTGTAGGATTAAATTAGGACGAACCACACATTCTTAAGAATGATTAACATCAATTTAATTAATAAAAGTTTCTCCTTCCCAAATCCTCTAGTAAAAAGTTACAAAATATCTAAAATATTAAAATACCTTTTAATTTTCTACCATATATATATATATATATATATATATATATATATATATATATATATATATATATATATATATATATATATATATATATATATATATATATATATATATATATATATATATATATATATATATATATATATATATATATATATATATATATATATATATATATATATATATATATATATATATATATATATATATATATATATATATTATTGTCGGCTCTTTTGCAACTCAAATATACCATTTATTTTTAATTTTAATTATGAGTCTCTTTAAATATTTTTTGATAAAAAAATCTTTGAAAATGACAAATATTTTAATTTTGAATATGTTAAGTACACAACTTTCCAACTTTCTATAAAATAAATTCTATTTTCAGTTTTTGCTCTTAAATTTTTTAGCATTTTTTTAAACTATTTATTTTGAAAAGTCATTTTTTTAAAAAATATTTATTTTTTAAAATGTAGGACGGATGTTAATTAAACATATATATAAAAAAAAGAATTGATAAAATAAACATATAACCGTAATAATATATATATATATATATATATATATATATATATATATATATATATATATATATATATATATATATATATATATATATATATATATATATATATATATATATATATATATATATATCAAACGAGGGATCCATGTAAAGCAGACCGGCAGCCAGAGATTTTAATAGGCAAGAACGGTCTACACCAGTATGGACACACGGGAGTACTCTCCTCTCAAAGTATGTCACCGGTTAGGTTGAACGTAAGATGGCTTTGTGTTGTGCGAGAGTGGCAAGAATCGGGTCAGATTTCGCCGGGACGCAACTCGATTGTCTTTCGTGCAGAGGAACCTTCGACTAGGGTTCGTACGATGCCCAAAACCTTACGGTCCACAAGAATTATTACGAACAACACTATACGATAATTGTTGGAGAATTGAATGTAACTCTATAAACTCCTAGATTATCTAATATTTGTTCCTTTTTTTTCGTTTCAAAAATATTTACCAACATCAATAAAATAATTTTGATTGAGATTTTAAAGAAACTCTTGTTCATAACTCAATCAACTCAATTTTTTTTGTGTGTCCATAAAGTCAAAGAAAAATAGAGCAGATTTATCGTGGCAAATAATGAGATCGTTCGACTTGAACCAAACTACTTAGGACATAGGTGTCTAATATAAATTGATATTCTTGAATTACATTATTATAAGAGTGGTAAACCACGTGTTTTGAAATGATCATTATTGTTATCTTTCAATAAATAACATCGTCTTTCGTTATTAAGGGGAAGATCGGTTTCTTCTAATTTAACATTCAAGTCAACCAGTTGGATATTAAAATTGATATTTCATCCTCAACATGTGTTTTAGCATGGGTCATATTTTTAAATACTCCAACCCTAAAGTTTAAAAGGGAGAATATTCACATTTTTAAATACTCCAACCCTAAGTTTAAAAGGGAGGATATTCACATATATATCAGCATATTGACGACTCACATATTTCGTACATTAATAAATTTTATTATTTTTAATAAAGTTGTTTCACGCAACTATTTTTATGTCATTTATATATGTTTCCTTGCCATAAATATTTAAAAATAACACCTCAACATTAGTAATCTTTTCATAAATGTAGGACTCATGTTGAATAAGCATATATAGTTGTTGGTGCACAAAATAAAGAAGATAAAGATAAAAGAAAAAAAGAGAATAACAAACTTCCACTACTCTTGTACAACGGTTACCGTAAATGGTTACGTCCTCACTATATTGACAGGTAGACATATTTATATACACAAACAATAATCTCACATATGCAAAATGCTAACCTAGACTAATTAAGTAAACCTTAACAAAACTAATACTACTATTAAATATAAATTATTTTTAACAATAATTACGTTCTCCAAACTAATATCTAATATTCTTTGCTCCTTTGTTTTGTCATTTCAAAATTATTTCCTAACATTAATAAAATAATTTGTCTGGGCGAAAATTTTGATTGAGCTTTTAAAGAAACTCGGATTCATAACTCAATGAACTCAATTGTTTTTATAAAGTCAAATAACAAATCGAGGGGACTTATCATGGCAAATCACGAGATCATTTGATCACTTGAGACATGGGCGTCTAAATTCCTAAATCTACTCATAAATCACAGTGGCTTAAACTTTCATTTGAACCATTTCACATTAAGAAAAAACATGTAACACCCAACACTGACATAGAGTGGATTAGTTAATGATAACATAATCAAAGAATCCCATGCAAGTCACATGTAACTGTCTTCTAATTAACGTTAATACACAAACTTCATGTAACATACATGTAATTGCATGCATTATTAATTCGAATCATGATGAGTAAGAAACCACATAGTATAAAGCAAATCAGAAAAAGATAAATTTTGCAACAGTGAAAACGCACAAAAACACCGTTACAAATGAAAATAATAGTTAAAAATCTTTTGAAAGTGAAAGAGAATTTTTGTTTCTTCAGTCATCCACATGTTCGTCTCAATATGGAACCATTCCATCAACTTTTTCAACATGGACATCACTCACTTTATATACATACATTTAGATTATAATAATTTTCCTTAATTCTTGTCATTTCACAATTTAACTTTACTTTTCATTGACATAATAATAAGAATATTGTAACAGAAACAAAACTTCATTTCATAATATAATTGTATATAATATAACTATTTATCATAATATGTAAAATTCAAAACAACCTAACCCAACCCAGAATTTTTCTGTTGTGATACTAATAATACTAATAATAAACAATAAAAGAAAAATACTCAAGGGTTCAATGTTTGCAAAATCCAACTAGATCAACATCTAACAAAACCCTGTATCTATCTTAGGCCTATATATAATATATAATATATAGATATATAACTATAGTATATATTCTACTTATATCTTAAATTTAAACAAAAACATGAAACAAGACAGATTCATTGCTCAGATGTATGTATGACTTCTCACTGAGGAGGGTTGAATCCTGACAGATCAGGCCATTGATTTGAACTCAAAGAAACAGAAATGCCGTCTCCGCCGCTACCACCAACACCGCCACCATTCCTATCAGAATTAGCACCAATTGAAGTTGTGCTGATAGTACTCCACAGAGATTGTTGTTCAGAGATTCTATTATTGTTTGCATTGTTGATGTAGGTCTGATGCCAATTATCAGAAGCAGCAACAGGCCCGGAACCGGAACCGGAAATAGAACTAGAATTAACGATATTGGATGGAGGAATGAAACTCAAACCTTGTTGTTCTGATGTAAACATTGGTCCACAATTACCACCCATTTGATGAAAAAATTGAGATGGACGGTTTTGTCCTTGTGATGAATTTCCAAGAGCAGCAACATTGAAGCCTTGTAAAAGACCCAGATTTGAAGAAGAACCAACTCCAACACCGCCTACATTTAGTGACGGATTAAAAGTGTGTGGTGAAAGATTTGGATTTAGAGACGGATTAAACGCTGCAAAAGATGACATATAGCCAACACCGCCTTGATAAAAAGGAACGGTAGAAGAAAACGAAGCTAAGACCGAAGGAGTGTCTCTGGCCAACACAGCCATAGCCGACTGATCAGTTGACTGTTGCAGCACTGACTGAGCATGAGCCAGAGAAGTATTCCCAATGGAATTATTTGAAGAACTCATGACCGAAGTTTTAGCTCTCTTTCCCTTACGACAACCGCCACCAACCGGAACGTTTCTCAATGTTCCACCGTGAGTCCAGTATCTTCTGCATGTTTTGCAGAAGAAACGGGGCTGAGAGAGACTATAGTTGTTGTAATAGCAAAATTTAGTGTTGAATGAATCACACCTAGGACACTTCTGAGGCTGAGGATGATTATGAGCTTTATTCATCTCACCTCTTCGTCCATCACCAACACCACGACCACCCCCACCACTACCATTTTGCTCCATCTCTTTTTTTTTCCTTTAAACTTTTTTCGGAAAATTTGTGTGTTGTTTTAGAACAGATTTGCTTTGTATTTATAGTAAAAAAAAAACAAGAAATAAAGAAGAAAAAAAAACTAGGTTCTGCTTGCTATTGGTTGGTTTCTGGTTTTTTTAGAACATGCATGAACTAAGGAAAATTTTGATTGTAAAGTGTTTTAGAAGTTTAATTTTTTCAGATTTGAGACAGAAAAAGAAATGTTCAACGTGTCTCTGCTAAATGCATCTCAAAATAAAATCTACAATAACCAAACCAACGGCGATCTTTACCTAGTGCATGAATTTACCAACTACAAAAAGAAAATAATACATAGAAAAAAACAAATTAATCATCAACTAATTTTAATTTTTTCCATTTTTAAAATTATGAGAATATGTTTCTACATCAATATAGGTATTAATTTCAATATGTTCAACACGTGAGAAATCTTAATTGATTTTGAAAATCTTAAAAAAAGTTTTTAAATTAATTAATTAATTGAAAGGAATGGAAAAAAAGATTATTAAGAAAATTACAAGAATGGTAAATGGTTTCATATTTGGAATATTTTACCACCAACCAATCTCTAGAAAAATGAATTGTTGAGATTTTGATGAAATTGTATAAGGAAGAAAAGAAGAACAAAAACAACACCTGAGATTATGGTTTGACAGAGATGAATGGAAACTTTCCCATCAGTTTCAATTTGTGCTGACCAAGTATTCAACGAATAAGAGGGAAAAAGTGAATGAGTGATAGTGCTAAAGATTAAAAAGTAGAAGAGAACTAAACAAGGAAACATTGTAGAGTAGATGAAGGACCACATTGAACAACCTGAGGTGGCATTGGTCAATGCAATGGTGGGACATGATATTTTTTTTTTATAAATTAAAAATACACAATTATATAAACTAATCCTTCAAATCAAGAAAAACAAAATTTTATCAAATAGGAATGGTAATTAGAACTATTTTTAGAAGGTATCTATAAAATTTATCCAGGATAGATAGAGTAAAAACTTACAAAAATAGATACAGTAACGAGTAATTATCTATTTAACTAAGCTAGTAAGTATGGATGCGGATACGAATACCCACCTTATTTTATATCCGCACAATATATATTTATGTATTTTTTATTTTATTATTACTACGTAGATAAGTTAATTTATCAATTTTATTAAATACATTATTAATAAACTTGTATGCATTTTTATATAAATATTTGTTTATTTTTTAATTCAACATTAATATCTTGGAATTTTTTTTAATGTTATTAAATTTTTAAAATTAAATAAAAAATTATAATTGATCTATTATTTTTATTTGAAATGCAAATAAATGAATATGAGTACGAGTATTCAAATATTCATAAAATACGATTACAAATATAAATAGGTGCTCACGCACGTAAAAACTCGAGTACAAGAAATTTTTTCAAATTGCGAGTATGAAAATGGTACAGAGTACCCTATCCATACCCTACCATTATCATCCATATTTTCAAAAGAATTGGTGGAATCCTATTTGAATCAATCTAAGAATTTCTCTTTTATAAAATTTTACAAAAAAAATAATTAAAATTCAATTAAAAATTAATTTTAAAATATTTTGGAAAACAAATTTATTGTCTATTACGATAATTTTTTATTTGAAAAATTAATATTTGACCTATCGAGCATAAATTTGTTATCTTTTGTAATTATTTTTTAAGTTAAATTTCCCGCGTAATTTTTATTAGAATTAAAGTTATAGTATTAAAAACAACTTATTTTAAATAAAATTTATTAATCATTTGTGTTGAAAAAGAATTTCATAATCTATTATGATTATTTTCAATTTGAAAAATCAATATTTCACATTTAGCGTGTAAATTTATTATCATTTTGCATGTAAATTTCATTGTCTGTATGAGATTTCCCGAGAAACTTTTATTAAAATTATAATTATAATTATTAGAAACAACTTATTTTTAAATGAAATTTGTAAATTATTTGTGTTTAACCATTTAGTAAACATAAGATCTTTTATAACATAGATTGCAATGGGCAGCATTTGGGTAGGTTATTATAGTATCTATCACCATATTTACTATTTGAAAAAATCCTCGTATTTGAGCGTATATTTGTTTGGACTCAAAGTTAGTATTCGTACTCATATTTTATGAATATGTAAGAATTCATACCTATACCTGTTACCAGTATTCCTATTAAAATTAATATATCCATTATAAAATATCTTATTATTTTAAATTTTAAAAAAAATAACAAGTTTTTAAAAATTTATTATTAAAATAACAAACACTTATATTAAATACGTAATAATTTAACATTGATAAACTTTTTTAAATTAATGAACATATATTTTTATATAATAATTTAAATTAAAATATATAAATATAATCTAAAATACAAATATATATATATATATATATATATATATATATATATATATATATATATATATATATATATATATATATATATATATATATATATATATATATATATATATTTTGCAGATATAAGACACATTGAGTATTAAAATGTCTAAACGCATACTTATACCAACTTATTTTTATAAATAATTATTCGATCTCGTGTCAGGATTTATTTTTTGCAGATTTTTACCGTAGGAATTGATCCATTGCCATCCATATTGATAATTATATTCAATGGCTATTATTATTACCTAAGTTTATATTTTAGTAATATGATTTATTCCGTACACCTGTACTGTTGAATCCATCCTTTTTCTTTTCCTTCTCTTTATCATAAGTGATCATAATTCATAGTACTTCTATCTTTTCAGTCTTGCATTAATTTCAAATTTAATACAGGAGAATATTTGTTTTTTTTATTCATTTTTTATTATACAAGTTAAATTAATATAATATTAGCTAGTGATTTTAATATTGAAAAGTTAATGCTCTTTTAATTTAATATGATAATTTCTTACTCTTTAAGTTTTCGAATCAATTACTAATTAGTATTAATTTATAAAAGACATGGTTAATATTATAATATGTTGAGGTTAACTCGGGTTCTAACACATGGTTAATATTATAATATGTTGAGGTTAATTTGGATTCAACACGAAAGAGTAATTTTATTTTAGAGACTTTTTTAACGAGCAATACATCTTTGTAAGAGACACATTACACACACTCATCCAAAATCTCAAGATAATAGGTGTGTGAATTTTTCCTTTTATAAATGTTCAAGTCTTCACATTTCTAACTAATGTAGAAATTCCTCACACTACTCATATTTATTATTCTTAACATTCTCCCTCAAGTGTGAGTCTATCCACAATGAGTTCTTTCATCCACATACACTTGTAGCATCGTTTACACTCTTCACTAAGACACTCTACCCACGACCATGTGAGATACTTTCAATACAAGTGAGTCGGTCCCTTCACTCGAACAAAAGGCTTATGATACCACTGTTGTGATCAATTCAATGTGTCAACTCAATGGAGCATTTTTTACTTTGCAAATTTTCTTTATAAGCAACACACATTTGTGAGAGACACACCATTTGGGTGAGTATGTGGTGTGTCTCTCACAAAGGTGTGTTGCCCTTACAAAAAATACCAAAGTGTAAAATTCTCCCTCGTGTTGACCTTTCTCCTCCGAATTGACTAAACAGTGGTATCAGAGCCTGGTTATGATTTAGAGATGATTTGTAATGGTAAACGAAACAGAGTAAGAGAAAGTAAGTACAGAAAAGAGACCAGCAGCCAGCATGCGTCGTGAGCTCCTAATTCGCCGGTGGTAGAAAAGAGGAATGGGTGTACCTATAAGGTACTCCAATGCTAGAGTAAGAAACAGAGTAAGAGAAAGTAAGTACAGAAAAGCTAGTTGTGAATAGAATACCTAGCCCTCTAGTGGAAGAGGGTATTTATAATGTGCCACCAGTGTTGGGCCAACGGTTATTTTGCATTGGATTGGATCACCAGACCCAATACGAATAACTTCCAGGATCTACGTGGCGTAGAGAAGATCGACATGTGGTCTTCATCCTTGTCCAACTGCCCCATGACCTCCGAAAAGTGGGTGGCCTGTTCTCTCGGACGTAGATAGTAGGCTAATGATGTGTCCCCGTGGGGGAGCATGTGGAGACCGTGGGGGAGAAACGTGAGTGTTCCCCGTGTGACTTGATGGATTGGGCCTTCAATGAGCCCTTCTCGACAAAGAGTTGGGCTAGGGCATGCCCGACGGTGGGCCAGCCTCTTACCCAGTTCATAATAGGAGCCCTCGAAGTCGTTGCTCCGAAGCATGAGAGTAATGACTTAAGAGTCAATTATCGTGTCGAGGATAAGTTACCCAGCGTCGCTCGTGCTCAAGGTGCCGAGCTCTCAGGGTTATCGGGTAACAGATGCAAAAGCCATCGACCGTGCCCGACAGTGAGTTATGTCCCTGGCCGACAACGGGGTTGGTCATTTGTTTATCATGAGGGCAGGTGCTCGTCTCATGCACACATGGTGTGCTTTCATCTCCTATCGAGGAGGTGTTCATGGTAGCGCAGGAGTCGGGCATTGTCCTCGCCATGTTGGATGGTACAATGGAAGTGGAAAAGGTTGACATGTCATTTCCTCGAACTGTGCGAGGAGACTTGAAGGGACGTGTGTGACGTCTCCGTGCACCACGTGTTTGAAATAATTAATGAATATAATGGCTATGAGTAGGGTACTTGAGTGCTTAAGAAATGTCTGGCTTCCCGTGTTAGGGCTTTTAAATAGGGAGGAAGGTCAGTTCACTTGTACGCTTCCCTTGTAACTCAAAGAATTTCTCAAGATCCTCTCTGCTCTTCTCTCACCAGTTCTCCACCATAGTAGCTAGCTTTTTGCTCCGCCATCCCTCTCCAGACTCCTTACACAAGTAAACCCCCTGTCTTTTCCGAGTTTATGTTTCTTTTCAGTGAGTTATGCATTTTTCGGTGATTTCTTCGGGGAACCCATGAAGTTCTCGGTGAACTCATGTA